TCAATTCACGTTCTTCACTGGCGAAACYTATTATCTGCATCTCTGTGGCTTGGCTTCGTGATATATTTAGGTACTTTCTAAAGAAAAGGAAGATTTTTATTTTTCTCATTTTTAGTTTCAGTAGTGATAAGAAAACTTCCCAATGACAAATTTTCACTAATCTGTGAATTTCAAGATTGAATTGTTTAATTTCCTTTTTATACGTTTAAGTCTATTTTTTAACTAAATAAATTGCAATTAAGCGTTTTTTGAGAGATTTATTTGTGCGAACTAAAATTTTTTTTAAATAAATCTTTAAATCACAAGGTGACGCGCGCGCGTCTTCAAAAAGGCGGGAAAATCTAAAATCCGTTTGTAACCATAGGCGTTGGGTTTCACAAATACAGTAAATTTAAAAATTTTAAAGTAATCGTGATATTGTATAAAAAAACTGTGTTTTTTAAGAAATAAGTCCATTTTTGATGCTATAGTTTTGTTGTATTGTTGAATCTCATTGAAAACRAGAACAATGCAATCAAGGACATCACGGAAGGGAAGGTGTAAATTCTTTCCCCAGAGTCTGTTTGATAATTCATATTCTAAATTCCCTAATGGAACGCTTTAGTTTGCAATTACTTTTTTGGGGTGAAACCTCTATTTAACTGAGAATACAATTATTTCAATGATACACTCCTAGTAAATGACATTTCTATGTTTTGGTCGTTATCGATCTGACTTGCACATGTTTTCATCAGCAGTCGAAAATTTAGCTTTCTTAAAAGCTTGACGTTTCCGTGTAACAGCACATGTGAATATCGCTCAATTTTTAGTTCAAGAAGCACAAATGTTGTTTTTTTTATCTATTTTGACATTCTGTTCTTTACATTGAAGAATATGGGCTTTGAATTACAGCATAATTAATAATGAAGAAGTCCGAAAAAATACTGCATAAACAAATTATATTTTTCCTCTTATCTCATGCTTAATGCAACTTTCCATCGTTTTGAAATGGTTCTCAGACGAACCGCAAAACTAAGATGGCGAATGTTGTCCAATAAGCCGCGGTTATAAAAGCAGAAATAAAGCTTGAAAAATGCTTTGGTGTAAACAGCGAGAAAAAAAAAATCCTCACTGTGTTAATTAACTCTGCATATTTCTATGTGAAAATGATGTTTACATTGAAAAGTACCGTAGTAAACTTTTTTTCCTGCGGATGGTTCTTATTCTCTCACTTAGATAGTCATCTTCTCTGAGCGTTCTAAATGGTTTAAAATTTGAACAATGAAAAAATCGTCTTGGTTCTATTTGTTTTCTTGCAGTGATTTGGAAACACTCGAGAAAACACGAAAGTGGTCTTCATGAAATAAAAATGTCCTTTTTTTTGTTTTGAGACTTGAATTTTCATGAAATGTAAAGATAATGAGTTTATCTTGTCATCAATTGGCGATAGCTGTGTTCAATGGAACACTTAATGAAAACCTGCTTTCATATGCATTTTTGAAATGCAAATTATCAWGTCCTAACGCCCCAGAAAGTAAGCAATCATTCCCCTGAAGAATGGGAAACTTAACTGAAAGGATAGGCCGTGATATAGTTCTAATGATTTTTTAATGTTTTTAACTTTTTCTTGTGCTAACAAAACAATAAATTAAAATATCTAAACATTTTCTCGACTCTAATTGTAAAACATGATATTCTAATTCCTAAAGTGTATTTTTTCGCGATATAGGTCTCACAATTCATTGCCACGTGCGCGGGTTTTAAAATATTGATATTTCTATTAATCCAGAATACATACCCACTGCAAAACGTTGACTAGCATTCATGCTGTAACCCGCGACGAGAGGTCTGCGGTTACAGTATTCTGTTTTTGTGAAATAATGCGACAAATATTTAGGGTAGTTAAAAACACATCAGTGTGGCAATTCTCAAAAGCTTCGCGCGCAAAATAAATAGATGTACTTGAGAGAGAGAGAAATTACTTATGTAATCTGTCAACTCGCGAATCATTAAAGAAATTTAGACTTTTGGTTGCGCTTGTTTTTCTGTAGCTATATCCGCGCGTGCAACATGAAAATCAAGTTAATTTCTTTTCTGATTAGCATGAGAATTATCCCTCTATATTCAATCAATCTCACACCAAGCTAAATCAAAACATTTTCCACTAGAGCATCTAAACATTTCAGTATCCATAATTTACCCTGTTAAGGTATGTGGAATAAAACTATAGTTGCTAGGGGTATCTTAAGAAGATTTTCACACGTAAAAGTGTCCTTTTTAAATACTTACTGAAAAATACAAAGGCAAACAGAAGTCCAGTATGTATACTTGCCACTTTTAAAGTGCGTCCTTGTGACAATTTTTTCCATACAAAAAGGACATGTTGTGTAAACGGGGACGTCTTCAAATTGGAGCTGTTCACCTTCGCTAGATTCACCGTTGGGTGTAGGTTCTTGATCTACTGGCCTCTCATCACAATCCATCGAACGGTGATCACTATTGTTAACAAGCCGTTGTCTTTCTTCGTCCGACATTAGGCTAAAAGATTAAACTACAATTCCTGGAGTTATTTTAATCCACTGGCCCAAGGCTGTGTGTTGTTATTTCGACTGAATATGAAGTATATATGGCTTACATCAGATGGTAGTTTTTGACTAACAACCAGCACCAGTATAATAATGTATCATGCATGGTTGAAATATTTATACATTATAATGCTCAAAAACCTTGCTTTTTCATCTCCATCTATCCAATTTATTGCCCTTGTTTTTTATTAAAATTTGATTGGACGATTGATACATCATGAACAAGACGGTTTTTCATTGGCGCGTGTTCTCCAATCGATCTTCGCATAACATTCAATTATTTTTACTTTCCGTACAATCGTAGCATCGACGCGAGCTAATTCGTATCGTGGAACTCTATCGTAGACTATTGAAATTATCATATCACGATTATACTAACCCTTCTTTTTAGACACTTGTATTTGAAGATCAACTCAGTTGATCTACTCCGATGTAAAATCTCTTTATACTTTATATTTCAAGAAGTGATCCTTTGTCTTACATATTTTACTTATGTAACCACTTTTTAGCGCTTTTCGCGGTGTTTTCATGCTCCTTTTTTTACAGTCAGTTCCATTGTTTGGGTATATGAACTGAAACAAAAGCGTATTCAAGTTTTTACTTTATCACTAATTATCTTACGAAGAGGTGCGGACAGCAAAACAGTCGACACACCTGTCAAAGTAGCTTGATGCGCATGCGCGGAGGGATTAAATTCTCATTACTCCAAAATGAAGATGTTTTCGTTTGTTTCGATCCATATTTGTTCAGTGTTTTACATGACATGAATCTATTATTTATCATTGTTGGTTTACTTGTTTCATTATCCAGAGCAAAATAATTGGTGATAGCAAAGGTTTTTGTTTCAAAACATGCTATTAAGAGATAATATCTCTGTAATGAAAAGAGGAAAGAAAGCGAGGAGTTTTGAAGCAGGTAAAAATAAAAGATACTGAAACCCGCGAAATGTTTCGGGATGTACTCGGGATGTCCCGCAATAGCTCGCCCCACTCTCTCGCAGCCACTGTTACCATAGTTTCACCTCAAATCATTATGTGTTCCGCCATTTTGTAAATATATGATATTTTTACATTGAAACCATCTAAATGTTCACGATAAAAAGTAATTGAGTTGAAAATCTATTGGTAAAGGATGTCTCGAAGTAGGAATGGGATCTATAAACTTGACAATTTGCCATTTTCTTCGGTAAGTTCCACCGGTGTGATGTAGAAACGACTTCTTGAAGTCACTTCAAATGTCATACAAAAAAGGTGCTTTAATGCTTCTCTTTCTTGGTGTAGAGAGAATTCCACAAGAAATTTACTTTGGTATCTGGCCCTCTAAGCTTGTTTGATGCCGAGGACGACCCAGGTAAGAAAAGAAATAATCAAAATTATCTAAAGTTATGTAGTCACTTGGTCAACCAAGGCTCACCTTTACCCGACCATTGGCAAACATGTCAAATTTGAAGTTTGTACTGAATCATCCTCATTCTTTTCGCACAGAAGAAGGAAATGAAAACCCAGATATTGAAAGACCTTTAACTCCAGTAGAGGTAATGTCAGAACATTATTAGTAAATATTGATAGGTTATTAAAAATCAATGACTTGCATAATTAAGTAATAGGTTAACAATATTAAGTTAATGATAATTCTAAGTGCTGTATTCAATGGTTTGATAGGAAGCAATCAAGGGTCCTCCTTCAACATTCAGTTCTTTTGYTAAGCTGATTCGACCACGTCTTACTCCAAAAGATGTTATTCCTGGTCTTAGCATCAATGATCAACAAGAGCTGGTAAGTAGGGAGTTAGCTAGGCYCTGTTATCCCTGGTAGAAGGGTTACTATCCTAACCAAGCTACTCTGGGCAAGCCATTTGCTATGATTTCTTAAATCAAGATTGAGAGATTACATGAAACATTKAATTTGCCTCAGCTAAATTAMCCTCTTTGCAAAGGGTCACCAAGGACAACTTTTCCTCATGTGAACATCTTCTCTTCATCTTCAAAATTTGAAACAACTACATGATTGAATTGTCAGCATGCACAGTGGATTWACATTGTTCTTTCCCATAAATTTGCTTATTAGTTATTTCTTTTTTATCTTATATAGATTGGTGTTATCATGAATGAGATCAATAATATTTGGGGAGACATGAAGGGCATTCCACCTGACCCATTCTTGGTATGATTTACTAGTTTGTATAGCATCAAGGTGTTATTGGGTATGAAAACCTGATATGTACATTTAGGATTCAGCCTAGTGCCCAGGCTTTCTACGCAAGCCTAAAACATGACCTGCTTGTCCCGGCAAAGAATGCCTGGATACTAAGGCTATGTACTGTAGGATTAATGCAAGTATTTATCTCAGCTGAAATAACAAAAATTTTATTATCATCATTATCATTTTAGTAATGCATATTCATTGTTTCTCCCTTAGAGCCACCAAGAAAACATGGAATTGCAAAGGTAAAGTTATGAAAAGTATATTATTTAACATTGTGAATGTGAATTCCATTTTTAATAAAATTTGTATTATTTTTACAGGCGGCTTGCAATTGAAATTGTTACTCTTGCTCAAGGATTGTTCTTCAAGTTTCTTAAAAAAGCACAAAGTAAGACTGCTTAGATGGGAAGGGAGGGGAGGGTAGAGGAGGGGAAGGAGAGAGAAGGGGTAGGGGGTGGGGGAGAGGAGGTAAAATTGGATTACAGGAGACCTTTTATTAATAGTAAAAAATTAAATGGTTTCATTTAAACTTTTATTTCTTTACTCTGTGTAAAATTGAATTCAACTGCATTATTATTAATTATTTTGTTTTGATATACAGAACTCCATCAGAGAGGTGTTTTCAGTGGAGCTGCAAATTTAAGTCGACTGAAAACACAGTTGGCTCTTGAAGCTAACAAAARGTAAATTTTATGATTTCCATTTCATTTTGTTTGTGTTTTATACACCTACATATTTTTGATTGGTTTTCAATCAATCATTTTTTATTTGTTTTTTGATCTTGTTTGTTTGTGAATTATTGGTGCGTTTGTGTTTGTATTTTTTTATATTTCTTGATCTCTTTTTCAGTCTCAATGTATTAAGCATCAGACGTAACCTAGCAATTGACATGAAACATCCTTGTGATCTGAGCACAGTATCAAGTACAAGGCTGTGGATTGGTGGTAGCAAAAAAACATACAAGCCATTAGTGGTATKTRTCTTTTCTTTSTACTTATTTCCAGTCATTTTTTCTGCCATCCTTTCTTAATAATCCACCTCTGTTTTATAGTGTTAATTAGTTTGTTGTTTGCTTAATTGATCAATCTATTAACTTAGGTTGATTGACTGGTTGATAAATTGATTGATGGCCTGTTTGGTTTTGATTGATTGATTGGTCAGCTGGTTAGATAATTATTGATTTRTGTATTCTTGGATTGATATGTGTATTGATTGATGAAGTGTCTATGACCAAGATTATACATGTATACTCTGACGAAGGATTAATGTCCGAAATGTCAGTAAGTTGTTTCACCTACTTTTTTATGGTGTTAAATTTATCTTTTTACTCAACAGCTCACACTAGTTTGCCACTAGTTCCCACCTTTTTATATAATTGTTTTATTGTGTGTGGTGTAATTTTTGTTTTCYGACTGACTGACTCATCATCAGGTACGGCAAGAGGAAGCGAAGCTGCGTTTAACTAAAGAGGAACTTTTACAAAGAAGAATAGAAAGTGAAATCAGTGATGTGAGTTTATTTTTGTTTCATCTCCTATTGAAATACATGTACATTCATCCTATGAATATAACCATTAATAATGATAAAAGTATGATAGAGAGAGCCTGAAAAACCTGTGCAAAATATCACTATTCAGTATTCATGCATAAATGTCGAACCTGTCATTCAAAGTTTGACATGGCCTCTTAGATTGTTTTAATTGAAATATGCTTAAGTGTGTCTTTGTTTTGTGATTCAAGTTAAGGAAGCAAATGCCTTCACTGAAGGCTGATTTCTTTGGTGGAATATTTCCTGAAGARGTTTTAGAAGGATCAAGGAGACCAACACCATTAAGTAAGGTTCAGTTGACATATTTTTAAATAACCTAACTATACAAGTCATCTAGACTTCAAATCTATCATTCATTTTTTGACTATTTGCCAGGAGGAAGTCTTAATGAAGGTTGTTGATGATGATGATAATGATGATGATGGTAGTGATGATGATAGTGATAATGATGATGATAATAGTTTTAGTTCCAGAGTCTGATCATAGTGAAAGTCATTCTGARCTTCTTGAGTAAGTCATAAACAGTTCTGGAATTTGTTTGTTATTTGTAAGCAATTATTTTCAGATTCCAGACGTTACCATTGTAATCTYGTTCTCTCTATTGAGATTATGATGTGCGTCTTTGAAAAACTTTAAATTGCACTTACATAATTATATTGCGGAAGATGATATTGTATATTTTATTTTAATTTATTTATTTAGTGGCGTCATGGAGGATGAAGATGGCTTGAGTGAAAAGGTCAGGCATTTTGATATTATAACAATTATAAACTATAAGAAAATTATTTTTGCATAAACCTTAGAGAGCTACTAGTGAAACTGAAGTCCTTATCAATCTCCTTGCATTGACAATATTGTGAAGTGTGAACTAATGAAGGCAGTTAGTAATAAATAATTTCTTGTAGTGCATTACAGAGCCTTATCTTCCCGTTGGAGAATCATTACTTGATGARCTTGGCCTTACTGAGGCAGACATTGGTAAATAAATACTTTATACACTTTATATAACTTATTTATATACTCCTTATTGTGGCTTCTTTTTTAATGAAGCAACTATTTTTTTCTGATCTTGGCCTCTCCTACTGATCTTGAACTAGAGCTTAACCTGCAAACAATTTTTAGATAATATTTTAAAGGAATATATTAAATTATTATTATTTTTCTATTATGTAGATGTGGGGAAGAAGGGTTACCCAAGGTCATCAAGTGTCAGCAAAGTTGCGGTAAATATTTAATATTTTTACATTTTAATTTTAATTTAGTTGTCCTCCATAGCCTGTCATTTTGAATGGTTTGGAACAGTTGCTAAGCAACAAGTCTGCATCATACTTTTAAAACAAGAAATAGCTAATAAGACTGTAAACTTATGTGATTATTAAAAAAATTGATTTTGCTCTCACCTGCAGGATGACATCTTTGCAAAAGATTTGGAAGGCAGAGTGTCTACCAAGGAAATGTATGCATTGTTTGTGACAGATATACAATTATTATTTTTTATGCTGACAGATATAATAMRATTATTATTTWTTATGCTGATATTCATGATATATCATCTTTGATTTGAAGGCAAGGGACACCTGACTTTGTGAGCAATGACTTAAGAAAGCTTATTTCCTCTAGAAGGGGGAAATCCCAGGTAAACAATAATTCATTGTAATAAACACTTGGTGAAAATTTCAATAAAAAAGGTTAACACAACTTTCTGGGATCTGATATAATTATTTTCCTTTTTCAGAGTGAGAAGTCACAAATAGACAGAGAGGGGAAGGACAGTGATGACTTACCTCCCTTATTGCAGGTATTGATTGATTGATTGATTGATTAGTTTGTTGATTGATTGACTGATTGGTTGGTTGACTGATTGATTGATTGGTTTATCGATTGTTTGATGGATTGATAGGTTTGTCGATTGATTGATTGATTGTTTGATTGATCTGACTCTATGATTGATTGACAGTGATGACTTACCTCCCTTATTGCAGGTATTGATTGATTGATTGGTTTGTTGATTGATTGATTGATTGGTTTGTTCATTGATTGGTTCTTTGGTTGGTTGATTGATTAATTGATTGGCCAGTTTGTTGAGTGACTGATTGGTTTGTTGACTGATTGATTGATTGATTGGTTTATCGATTGTTTTATGGATTGATAGGTTTGTCGATTGATTGATTGATTGATTGACTGACTGATTGATGGATTGATTGATGGATTGATTGATTGATTCAATGATTGATTGATTTCAAAGGCACTAGCTCATTACAGTTCTAAGAAAAGAGATAGACTACTAGATGACCCAGATGAGTTGTGTAGTGAGTCAGGATCAGTGATAGCCTCCACTAAGGCATCATCTGTTGCAGTTGACTCTACTATAAATGACGAGAGGTATGTATCATTTCAGGGTGGTAACAGAATATAGTTTTTACAGTGATCCCTAATGAACCAACGCTAAATTCTGATAATCCTCTTTTTGCCAATCCCTGAATAACTTTCGTGATCCTGATTCCGATGCATTGATCCTGATTCAAAATTTAAAACTTTGATCCCTGAGCCCAAACAAATTGATCAAAAAGCGATCCCTGAGCCAATATTGATGTGCATAATTTACTTAATATGTTAGTAACATATTGTCATGTGTTTTGCAGCATAACAGAGTTTACAGGGGAGGAGGTAAGTTATTTCTAGTTTCCTCACCTCCTTCCTTCATCTCCCCTCATCTCTCCTTCATTTCTCCCTTCCATTTTTTCTTTTATCATATCATTCTCCTTTCCTCTTCCATTCTTCCTCTTTTTCATTTTTCATATCATTCTCCTTTCCTCTTTCATTCTTCCTCTTTTTCATTTTTCATATCATTCTCCTTTCCTCTTCTGCCTTTCCCACTTTCTCTTCCCTTCCTTTTCTTCATTATATTGTGTTCATTCATTCATTATTCCTCTTGTTCATTGTGAGAAGCATTTGGTTTTGAAAGTGTTTTATTTGTCTCTCTCAGCATCCTCAGCCAGCAGTTGTTTCACTGAGACTTCCTGATAAGGTAGTTCGTCCATTATGCTTTCATTTAGTTATTATTTTACATTCACATGGCTAATTTCATTAAATGAAATGTCTAGATTTCATTCTATTGATTGAAAATTCCAGTACCAGTGGACATTGTAGCCTTCAATCTATGTGTAAAATTKATTGTTTATTCCAAGCATTGTTTTCTATTATAGGAACAAGGCTATTCCTGCCTTTACTTAAATTTAGTTAAATTTTAAGAATAGTCAGTTATTAGCATAATCGATCTCCTGAATTTTAAGATTTCTATTTCATGATATTGAGATTTTCTTGTGTGTATTTACAGTCTGTAGTTCGCACATCTGATGTCAGAGTATCCAATCGAGTTAATAAGTCTTCTTTGGTGTTACAAAAGTATCCTACAATATACAAYGACCTTACAGGAGAGGTACGTCATGTAGTGTTTATGTCTTCTTGGATGCTTGTGAAATTATTTTTCTCCTTAGAACTTGTGGGCCTCGTCTTTGTTTTATCATGTGTACTCATTTTGTTCCTACAATATCTTCAGCATGCTTTCATCTCTACATTCTATCCATCCATCCCAGTTTTCCATCCCTCCATCCATTCAGTCATCCATCAATATGTYCATATACCTAATTTCCATTTAATGATCCATTCAYTTCTTCATCCATCAATCCACTTAATCAACCGCCATTGTATCCCATTTTTTCATTTATTCACTTCTCATCCATCCATTTATTCACTTCCCACTTTTCATCATCATTTTATGTTTCATTTGTCATGTCATCATTCATGTCATTGATCATTTCTTGTTCACATCACAGGATTATGTCTATGTCAACACTGAATTCATGCAGTCTCTTGTTTCAGTGAGCATGCCATTTTATGTGTACTGTAGCTTTGTGTAACTAGTGCTATACTATTCTATGTTTATGGTGTTGGTACTGAAATGTTGTTACTTAGTGTTGTTTGTATTGCAATGCTGTTTTTCTATAGTTTTTAGTGATTTGAGCTCATATCTGTATTACAGATAGATCCRGTGATGGTGAAATGGCTGGACCGGAACCTCTTCATAGGTGAAGAGATTCGTGAAGTCTACCAAGAAATCATTAGAACAATGAATACTGATTTTCTTCTGTTTGATA